GCAGAAGGCGGGCGGTTGCAGGTCGCGGGGCTGGTCGGCACCACCCTCGGCCTGGCTAGAGATAAGCCTTCCAGGGAGTCAACAACCAACGCCCATGATTGGGTTTGGCTTGGTAAGGGATTTCATAAAATACTTAGAACAAGAAGTAAACTTTTCTCTATGTTTAGTTAATATCAATGGATCATATAAAATACTTACGTTACGTTACGTTATCCTAAAGAGACTCCATTTGTAAAACCGGAATTTTAAACCTCTCCGCACCTTTAAAACTCTTTTAGTTTTAATTTCTTGGAAAATAGTAGATAAAGTCATATAAAGTAAATCCAAAGTGAATGCGGTTGGTTTATTACTTTCTTACTTCTTGATTATAGGCAGTTTTATGTAATTTAATAGCATTCGTAGTGAAATTACAAACTTCTTTTTCAGGCCGTGCAACAATAGAGAGGAATGGTAACAGACAACTTGCGAACCGTAACTCAAGTCAACCAATAGATAAAAGCAACAACAACGAGATGAGAATCACATCTAACCCACTTAATTACAACTACGTTGAACCGGACGACGCTATACGAGAGAACGGCAACGTTATGGTCACCAGTTTTGACAACCCTAATTCCATTGAGCTGCCGTCCCAAAACGAAAAGAGTAGGACTACGGATGACAAGACTAAGACCACAGATGACAGGACCAAGACAGATGATAAGGCCAGGATGATAGATTCGACAACGTATTGCAAGAAGCCATCTCGACACGCGCGACAACACTCCGGAGACGGTCATTGGCAGTAAGATTATGTCGACATCATTTCTTGAATGTTCACCGCTATAGATGCTTCGATTGCCAAATCGAAACACATAACAACTTTAAATAGTCAAAAGAGTAGAAACTAAAATCATAAATATAACAGTATTGGGTTGCCTAATACTTTTGCAATGGCTAACCGAAGAGAGTATTCGATTTGGCAAATGAAGAATTCTTTAACACGCTTTATACATGTACCACAATTATGCGTAGTCAAGTCAGCACTAGGCTACTTGCTATAGATATCTAATGTACGTTTCAAATGAGAATGTCGATGTCAATGACCTCTGACTAAATTGAATGGAAAAGTGCGATGTCAACAATTTAAGTTTTATGAATACCTCTTTTACTGACCGTATGGTTGTTTTTAAGGATTGAAGTATAACTGACGTCACAATATGCCGCGTGTTGCAAATTCTTATTTGAAACGTAGTGTATGTTATATTGTTTTAACGTGTTAGTGTGTCTGTAGGGTGGATGCAGCTGATCACGATGAATACCGACCCCCCGTGCCGCCGCACCGGCACTCCTCAGCTACACAACCCCAGATACCTGTCCCGCCACGCAACAACAAAGTTAGTATACAAAATTACTTGGAGCTATTACTTGAGTTTATT